TGTGGCAATAAGGGTTATAAGGGAAAACTTTTCAATAGCTAGGAGGCTAGCTTGTGGAGGTAAATTGTTTCACGTTAGGCTTACCATTTTTTCAGAGATTGTACAGCACTTGTAGTTGCCATACCGGAAGCTAATCCCTCGATTGTAAAACGAGGTGGAACTCAGCTTATGAGATGTTGTTAGTTGCATTGAAGTTCAAAATGGTGTTTCCCAGGTACTATGAAAGAAATTCGAATTATCATTCTTGTCCCAACTTAGAAGAATGAGACAAAGTTGAGAAAGTTTGTCAGATTTTGAAAGTTTTTAGTGATGCCACAAATATCATTTTTTGGGAGTGACTATCCTACTTCAAATAAGTTTATGGCCGAGGTTTGTTGGGTGAAAATCTTGTTGGATAGACATGCAAATGATGAGGATAATTTTGTTCAGAACATGGTGAGGTTGATGAAAGCCAAGTTTGATAAGTATTAAGGAGAGTGTAATTTGTTGATGGCTATTGCTGCAATATTGGACCCTAGGTGCAAAATGAGGGTGATTGAAGGTGTTTTCCCTAAGATATTTAGTCCTCAAGAATCCTGAATGCATGTTGTAAGAGTTCGAGAGGCCTTATATGACTTGTATGGGGAATATGTGGCTAACAAGAAATCTTCTATTGCCAATCGCAGTGCTGATGTAGGGGTTAATGGCAGGCCTAGCAGCAGTGGGGTGTCTACGAGAGATGACTCTTCTGCTTGGTCGGTATTACTGGGTTTAGTAGACATAACTGATACGGTTGCATCGGAAAAATCAGATTTGGATTGTTATCTAGATTAGGGATGTCACAAATGTCAAGAAGCTCATAAAGCTTTTGATGCTTTAGCTTGGTGGAAATGGAACCGTACAAAATATCCTATATTATCTAAGATGGCTTGTGATGTACCAGCTATTCCTATCACCACGGTGGCATCAGAGGCTTGTTTTAGAGTTGGAAGGAGAGTCATCGACACTTATTGAGCTTCATTGTCTCCTGAAACAGTCCAAGTGTTATTATGTGTTCGTGATTGGTGCCGCAATCTTAACAGATTGAAGAAGGAGAGCAAAGTAAGTTCATTTATTAAATTAATTGAATTTATATTCCTTTTTTATTTGTAATTGACTTTATTTTACTCTTAACTTAAACTTTTTTATCTTTCTCTATATGTATTTAAGAGAGATGTTCAACCAATGGAGATTACACTTCCTATCCCTTTCAGCTGAAGTGATTCAGTAGATGTTTGATCCTCCAACAGTCCAAACAGTCCAACTTTTGATATATTGGTAGGTATATGTATATGTTTTATTGTTTGGAAAATAAAAATTAGGATTAATCAAGAGTTGTATGTTGTTTATGGAGAGTGGGCCGTGGGTTTCAACTTTGTTGGGTTTTGAGGATGCTAATTGTTAAAGTTTGTAGGTTTTGTCATGGTTTGGGCCGTTTGGCAGTTTGCATTTTTCAGGCAGCTTAGTGTCTTCACTCTTCGTCATCAGGATGTTAATTCTTTATTATGTTAGGTTGCAACAGTTAGATGCAATTGCTTTATCCTTATAATATTTACATCATTGGTTAAGTTCTCATTTTCATTGGACAATATTTAGATGCAATTATAATGCATGCTTTATAGAGTAACTATTTCTAAGTTGAATTTGTGGCGGTATCATAAATATTTCTAAGTTACATTGGGCAGTATCATGCTTTATCCTTGTAATAATTACACCATTTTTAATTCCTATTGTTTTTTTCTCAATTTTTGAAGATATCTAGATACACAACCTCAGACTCAGAGTGCACGTTTGCTGTAACAACTTCCAAGATGAACATTTTGTTGCCATATTCCAAGCTTCCAGCAACTCACAATTGTGTTTGCCAATATATGGTTTTATGCTTTTTGTACATGAATTTGTGGGATGTTTATGTAACACCATATTTTTTTAGTATTTTTCTTCTTGAACCTTGATATTAAACTTATGATATCATCATATGAGTGTACTTAAACTTATTATATCATGCTTTGCAATGTAAATATGTAATTATCTCTCTTTCATGTAATTGGTGGTTAATTGTTACTTTTTATCGAATTCGAGCTCCAATTCGAGCTACAACTTGATTTTGCATCCGGCTGAAATCGAGCTTGCTCGAATTCGAGCTAACTCAAGCTCGATTAATCAAGGTCGAGTTCGAATTCGAGCTTCCAACAGTATCACGAGTTTGAGTTCAATTCAGGTTTTTCAAGCTTGATATGGCTCGAGCTCGTTGCTACAATAATCGAGCTTGGCTAGATTAGGCAAAGCTCGGCTCAGTTCGACTCAATTACGCCCCTTCTCTTGAGCCTGTAAATATAATTATATTCATCATTAATTTAATTGTATATGTAATGGTAAGGTTAGCCCTAATTAGATCGACACATTTATATATGTAAATATATCATAGTTGTGTTTTGTGAACATTAATATAAGTGTTAGAATTTCAATTTGTATGTCTAATATTATTATTTTTTATATAAATATTATGGAATAATAATAAATTTTATGAACAAATTGATATTAAGCATATGTTAAATGTATTGCTGGGTTAAAGGTAAATTTGAAAAAAATTGTACTACATCCACTTAAATTTTTAATTTAACATGTTTAACACATTCTTTTTTATTTGCAATATAGTTATGAAAGGAAATTAATAAATAGTTATGTTTTTTTTTTTTTTTTTTTTTTGGGTAAAATATAAAGAATAAAGAATGGATCCCAACCATTGGACCCTACAATCCACGGTCCTTGGACAAGCCCAAGCAACCAAGCAAAGCAAAACAAAGTGAAATCGAGGACAAAACAAAAGGGCCATCTGGAACAAAACATCTGCACACAAAGGGCATCCACCAAAAGAGCCCAAAAACTCAATCCCCACCGCAGAGAAACCATAAATCACTGAAGAATTCCAGCAGACACATGCATATCCCACAAAGAAACCTGCAGCTCTTATCACAGAGCACATAGCAGCCAGACAAAAAACATCAAACCACAGCAAGATTCAATTGAACAATGGCACCAAAACAAGCCAAAACCGCAACTCAGAAGCAGCCTCAGCAGCTAAGTGGAAATGGCAGTCAACTTCTCACACAACACCACTGACCACCCAATCAGTCACCCAACAGCCCACCAAAGTTACGGCTGACAAGCAGCTGGCCTGCACCACTCAACAACCCACACACAACTCACACCAGAAAAAATAAACCAACCACCAACACCCAACACACAGAATCAAACTCAATAACACTATCGCGAAAAAGCACAGCCAAAGGCTAGGAGGGGCCAACAGCAGCAGCATCCAGCAGCGACAAGAGCAGGCATTAGCAGAACAGACAGCAAGATAAGGGAGCTTGGAGAAAGGAAGGGCCACCACTCATGCATACAAACCCCACCCACCACCACTCTCCACAGTCCAGCCATGCCAAGACTAGCACCCAAGACAGCTTCCAAATGCAAAAATGAGGGCTGCACATAATCCCACAATCTGCCTCCCTTGACGATTTCCTAAGCCAGCAAAGGGAACCTGCAAAAAACCAAAACACGTTAATCTGGCATGGCACATTCCTTCCCAACCCACATGCCTCAATAGCTCCATCTTGCCCAGACTTATCCCCCTCCAAAAGAGTAACCAGGCCGACACCCCATACCGTCGAAATCTTAAAAATCTCCATCCTTTATGAGAACTCAGGGGAAGATCCCATTACACCACCACTTGATGGACTCTGTCATTATCCTTGAGGGAGATGTTTTATGTCAAAACACATTGGATTTCAATAGACGGATAACTATGAATCGTCTCCCAAATATATAATTATAGTTTAAATGAAAGTTAGATAACTAAATAATTTGATTAACGTAGTTTATATAATTTTAGTTTTGATATTTGGTATTTTATGAATTGAAATGTTTTAAATATTATATAGTCAAAAATAAAAAAATTTTTTTTATATTTTTTAAAATTAATTGAAAAACACACGAGGGCAAAACTAACTTATAATATATATAAGGCTGAAAATTATGGCAATGGTATTTTTAATATGAAAAGTTAAATCTTTATTTAAACAAAAACTGAATATATCCATAAAATTTACCCAAGGAAAGATTAACATGTCCAAGTATTAATTATTTTTATTTTTATTTCTATTTTTATTTTTAATCAAATGTTTATGCGATAGATAAAAAAAACCAATCCCTTAATAATTTTGGATTTTTAGTTAATTTTTATGTGAGTTTGATATGAAAATAGAAATGCAGTCTTCTCCTGCAGTGTGAGATTTTCATAAAATATCATGAACTTAATTAAAAAAATTATCAGTAATATCTTGTCGTTTTGCTAAGTGGTTATGGAAAATTAGCAGGATGAAAAAAAGCCCCCGGCGAGGATCGAACTCGCGACCTTTCGCTTACGAAGCGAACGCACTACCACTATGCTACGGAGGCAACTTTTATACATGTACTTACAAGTTAATATTTAATTTTTAATTTATAAAAACCTTTATACTTAGAATGTGAATGTTTTGTTGGTTTCAACATTGTCCCAAAATAGTTTTGGGAGATAACAAAATTTCTTGGCAAAGTACACACCTTAGTTTAGTATATTTTACTAGAAATTTGATGTCCTCTAAAATATTAAAAATATAATTCCAGTTTACCAAATATTGGAACCCAGTGGCATATTGGTTTTGTTAATAGCTTGGAAATGGGAGACAGAAGACATATAAAAATTGCTGAAGATTTCAGAACTTACAATCTTTGACTTATTTTTGTCGAATGTTTTGAGGAAGTTTTGGTCATGACTTGCATATGATGTGTTGTTTTTCAAGTAGCATGGTTTATTTTGTTAATTTCAAGTAGTTTTTGCCTCTTTCATGTCAATGCATGTAGTGATGATGAAAGATGGTGAAAAATCAACAACTTTCAAAGAATTTAAAAGCATAGCAGAAGTTGCAGATAGAAAAGGATTCATATACTGTTTCTTATGAATATGTATTAATGGTGTCATAATCTGAGAAGTTAATTTCTTTACAATCATGCCCAGAACTTTTTTAATTCTTACTCATGAATTATTATGCTTTCTTGCAAAAAATCACAGTAGGGAAAACCAAAGATTGAGCAAAATGAAACTAAAGAAATCTATTTTGCATGCCTGCATTTACTTCACAAACAGCTTTCTTCGCCTACCTGGCTTGCCTCGCAAACTAGCTGCTTCACCCATCAAAATCTCGTCTACTAAATCTTTAAAGAGCAACCGCTCAACATCTAGTACTACCCCAGAAATCTCGCAGTCAAAATTTGTCCAACTGCCTGATCGATGCTTCACATCCTCCCACAATATACTTTTCAAATCATCCTCCTCATCCTCTAGGCTGCACTCCAGTTTCTTGGCTTGAAGCTGTTCAATCTCTGAGCATAATTCTTTTAGAAGCTTTTGTGCACTCAATGTATTGCTTGCTAGCTTTTTGGTCTTTAACCATGGCTCTGGAGAGGTCCCTACTGAAGCTAACTTTCCGACAAGGATCTCATTGACAGAGTCAAATATGAGTTTCCGGTGAACTTTCTCTGGGTCTGTCGTTGAATGGGAAACTTTGACAGGGCTGCATTCTCCTTTTGAACAGAATGTGCTTGCATTAGTTTGTTCCAAAACAAAGAATAACTCGGGGTTGATTGGGTGGCCTGACGGATGGAGCTGAAATGTTGTCAAGCTGGAGCCGAGGTCTCTTAGTAGGAGGCCAGAAGCTAACAGTATCTCAGAGATGTATCTGTGGTCAGGATTGGTGTTCTCGCAAAGTGATGCAATGTAGTCAATGCCAGCTTCATCATGACTGGAGTTAAGTCGTCTAAGCTTCTGAACTAAATGCTCGATGTTTTGTAATTTCTTGCGACTGATTTCCGTTGTAACACCAGAACCCGTGCCATCAGATACGAGATTATCTGCTGTAGTCCACTGATCTTCATTGAGACAATCACTGGAAATTTGAGCAATATCACCTGTAACATGATAAATATTAAAGTTACAATTGGTAGAACATAGATGCCTTCATATATTATAGAAATTAGAACAATGGAAAGGAGCCAATTGGTATGTTTGTGGGGTAAGCTAAGGATCTCAGCTAAGGAATATTCTTAATGTAGTTAAGGACATGATGCGTAAATACAACAGAGGGTTGTTTCCAAAACTAAAAAATTCGGCAGCTAAACATTAAAAGTTCTGGATAAGCAAGAACAGGTTCATTAATCATCTCAAAATTGCAGTGGAACTCGAAAGAATTCTGCTCCACTCAAAACTCATCAGTGAGTTATACAATTAAACTAATTTCAAACTCTTAACCACCTTATGTGTAGTGAAGAACTATCAGCTTTATCAAGATGAAATGTTCTATTCAAACATATAATCTCTTTTTGTTTATTTGAGTGGGTTGATTTATTAAAAGAAAATAAAAAAGCTTTCAATCTGTCTATAAGCATTAATCAGTTTAGAGATGAACCATATCTAAGTGAAATTTGATCGATTAAAAGAAACTTTACCTTTGAGGGCATTAGACATCTGCTTAATGGGAGATGGATCATCACCTCTTAATGCTGAGGCATCCATGACAGAGACAGGACTAGGATGCTCTGCTGTAGCTGTAGCAAGTTCTGCTAAAGATCCATCCTCACTTAATCTTGGAGTTGATTTCTGAAACCATGAGAAACAAAATAAAATCCCAAGAAACTATGAATGAGTGATCAGAATAATTCAAAGAAAAGTTAAAACAAAAGCACCTACTTTCTGCTCTGAGCCTGAAATTGTGTGCTTGGCAGCCCTCATGGATGGACTCTGACTGCCATTGATTTCAATGCATCGTTCACTACTGGTAACTTCCATATCTATCCTTGAGTCCAAGACAAGATTGCTGTCTGATTGCACAGATGAATCATCTCCATAGTGACTTGAAGTTCTGGATTCATTACTTATCTGGCTCATTTGGTCATCAGCTTGCTGTAAGTGGTGAAATTTTTGTTTAAGTCTACCACCAGGAGAACCTGATTCTATCAACTGCCTGTTTGATTGCCTTCTAGGTTTACTCACATCAGCTGGAGGGGTTGGCGGGCGAGACCGCTTGTCCAATTCATTCTTCTTCTGCTGCAATCTAGGGCTCACAGAACCTGAGCTCCTTGTTGAATTTGTAATGCTTTCTCTTGGCAACTGTTGAGGCTTTGGTGAAGATTGCATTGTGGATCTTGTATTCTTACCACTGATTTTCTTATCAGAGGAGCTGACAGTAGATTCAATGCGACTGCTTCTAGGAGACTGATCTTTAGCTGCTCGGCTTTTTACTGAAGCCTTTTTGCTGTCTTCAGATCCCTTGCTCTGAAGCTTTTGGGGACTAGAAAGTCTGTATACTGGAATTGCTGATGAAGAAGGAATATTAGATTTCTGAACTAGTTTAGCCGGTTTCATGATCACGATTGGTGAGTCAAATGTCCTTGAGGAATGCGAACCCCTGGTTGTGGAAGCAATGACATGCTTGCTTTGCAGATTCTGTTGGTTTCTTGATTTAAGATTAGGACTAGAAGATTTCAGTTCATAGTCTCTTTGAGTTTCAAAGTTTGAAGCTTGTTCTTCTTTACTGGTCTCTATAAGCCCCTTTGCTTGCATAGCTTCCAGTATCTGCTTGAGAGCTCTGAGATCCTTTCCAGATTGTTTAAATTCAAGATCTTTCAATCTTTCCTCAATCTCAGAATAAACTGAAGGAAAGGAATTTGCTGTCCTTGCCGGAACTTTCACAGGCCTAAAAGCTGTTTTCTGAGAATCCCGACTTCCATCTGGTTGCCTCCACGGTGCTGGTTCAATTGGAAACTTCGAACTAGAAACTGGTTTCATGATCAAATCAGGATTTCTCCATCTTGGTGATGGTGGCTCTTTCATTGAGCTTCTTGGGGAGTTGGAAACTCGGATTGGCTTGTTTTGACCATTTGATTTCAATGATCTTGAGAAATGATCTCTCTCTTCAACTGGAGGGGTTTTAATCAAACCAAACCGGCTATCACTAGGTGCAGTAGAATCTGGCAGAGCTTCCAAGCCCATTAATTTTGCTACAACGCTTGGGGGCCGTTTCTGAGTTGCCAGAGCTTGTGGAAGATTAATGTCTTTGTTGTTTGAGATTACACCATCCTGAAAATTTTTAAAAGGGTAATTTGGTTTTGAATCAGAGTTGGAACGCCGTATTGGGCCATCTCTACCATCCAGTGAAAGTCTGGGCATCTCTTTTAGCTTTGGTGTGGATTTGAAGGTTTCTCGGGAGTCCAAAGATAAGCGATTCATCTCTTTCCCATCATAGGATAACCTAGGAGCATCCTTTGAAATTGTAAGCCAAGATCCTTCTTTCACTTCATACTGTGATCTTGAAAGGTCTCTACCTTCATTATAATACCAAGGCACTTCTCGAAATTTTGCAAGTACTCTAAGAGACTCCTTGATGTCAGCAGGCATACTTTGCTTCCCACTGACCCCAACATCATAAGATCCATCTCCTGATTTGGATAGTTGAAATGGCCTTGGAGAGTCCTTGTGCTTCAAAGAACGACCAGCGGATTCATCACTGGCTGCAGTTTTAACTGATAGTCCTCTGGCCTCTCTATACATTGAGTCCTTGACTACATCCCGAAGATCCAGTGAATGCCGCCCCAAATGTGGAGATGTACTTCCTTGGTGCATGACTGGGTCCCTGGATGGAGTTTCAGGAAAAATCATTCTGTCAAACGAAGAGGCTTCTTGTTGAGCCGTCTTGCCACAGTCCAGAGAGGACAAGGAAGATGAACAAGACGATGAGAAAGAGGCTCTTGAAGATTCTGTGGAAAGTCTTTGCTTCTCACTCACATTTCGGTTTAGATTTGTTTCCTGCAATTAAATGTATATTAGCTTAGACTTGCACATAACTTGCATCTCAATATTGAAGCTATGTTCTCACTGAGAAAATAAAAAGCTCAGTGATAACCAGGGCCAAAAAAAAAAAAAAAGAAGTAATGAAATTGATTGGAAAATTTTCTTTTCCAAATTTATATGCAGCAAAAGCCAAGGGATGGATAGAATCTAGAAACAGATGAATAAATAAATAAAAGAAAAACACTGAGAAAGGTTTAGGCAAATTTCTAGTTTAGGAATTTGTAATTGAAAATAATTGTTTTTCTTTTCTATTGTGAGATGTATTAGGAAAGAGAAGTTCTATTAAGAATAGGAATATGAATCATAGTAGAATAAGAATGTCTTATTTTACCTATAAACAGAGGAGTTAGAACCAATTCAAGGTTATGAGAGAAGAAAGTAAAAAAGGAGAGAATGTGAGGATGCAAGGGGCTTTGATGTAAGGGTACCATAGGATATTAAACACCATAGGAACAAGATGTTCGGCTGAAGAATTAAAAAATCCAATGATTGCTCAAAATGAAGGTTGATGGTGTGATGAAACATTTGTATCGTATTCAAATTATTATAATGAAAACCCTCTCATCCGTGGATGTAAACGAGTTATGCCGAACCACGTAAAATATTGTGTGCCTTGTGTGCTAGGTGTTGTTCTTTAATTTTATGTTATTTTTACTCCTTCGATTTTCAACAGTTTACACCAGAAAAATGCAATTGATCATGGTAACTGTAAAATGCTAAGTCTGTAATCATATTAAAAAGATGCAAGAGTTTGTGGAGAAGCAGAGAAAGAAGAAGATAAAAAGTATGAAATAAAGATGCCTCACAGTTGCTGTCTGTTGCTGATGTACACTGTTAAAGTCCCCTTCCGAGGTGGCATTCTGGAAGTGGGAAGTACCTGAAAAATTGCAGGGGAATTAGATATTGCATTCTTTGGTGATGCTAATGAATTTTCAATGTTTTAGCGCACTAAGAAAATCATCATTCAAGCTGATCCGCATACATGAAGGTTTCCAAATACGAACTCCAGACACACCCAAATTATAAAAAGAATAGAAAGAATACATTAGAAGTAGATGACATTTGTGAAACAAATATTGAGAAAGCAAAAAATGAAGATGGAATTTTCTGAGGAGACATCCGTCTTAAGGCCAATTTGGTATTGAATTAAACAAATGAAACAAAACTTTTATATTGAGCTTCAAAACAAGTCTAATAAGAACATATTTCGATTGCTCACTGCCAAGCATTGATAAAATAAATTGATTCTAACTGATTAAAGCTAGNTTCTATTGTGAGATGTATTAGGAAAGAGAAGTTCTATTAAGAATAGGAATATGAATCATAGTAGAATAAGAATGTCTTATTTTACCTATAAACAGAGGAGTTAGAACCAATTCAAGGTTATGAGAGAAGAAAGTAAAAAAGGAGAGAATGTGAGGATGCAAGGGGCTTTGATGTAAGGGTACCATAGGATATTAAACACCATAGGAACAAGATGTTCGGCTGAAGAATTAAAAAATCCAATGATTGCTCAAAATGAAGGTTGATGGTGTGATGAAACATTTGTATCGTATTCAAATTATTATAATGAAAACCCTCTCATCCGTGGATGTAAACGAGTTATGCCGAACCACGTAAAATATTGTGTGCCTTGTGTGCTAGGTGTTGTTCTTTAATTTTATGTTATTTTTACTCCTTCGATTTTCAACAGTTTACACCAGAAAAATGCAATTGATCATGGTAACTGTAAAATGCTAAGTCTGTAATCATATTAAAAAGATGCAAGAGTTTGTGGAGAAGCAGAGAAAGAAGAAGATAAAAAGTATGAAATAAAGATGCCTCACAGTTGCTGTCTGTTGCTGATGTACACTGTTAAAGTCCCCTTCCGAGGTGGCATTCTGGAAGTGGGAAGTACCTGAAAAATTGCAGGGGAATTAGATATTGCATTCTTTGGTGATGCTAATGAATTTTCAATGTTTTAGCGCACTAAGAAAATCATCATTCAAGCTGATCCGCATACATGAAGGTTTCCAAATACGAACTCCAGACACACCCAAATTATAAAAAGAATAGAAAGAATACATTAGAAGTAGATGACATTTGTGAAACAAATATTGAGAAAGCAAAAAATGAAGATGGAATTTTCTGAGGAGACATCCGTCTTAAGGCCAATTTGGTATTGAATTAAACAAATGAAACAAAACTTTTATATTGAGCTTCAAAACAAGTCTAATAAGAACATATTTCGATTGCTCACTGCCAAGCATTGATAAAAGCTAGACATAGTAGTTAGATTACCTGGAGGAAGCCTCTTGTGGGTCAGGCGCCGGCTGGTTAGGACCTGGTGGCGATCAAAGATTTGGAAAATCCCAGTCATGCATCCTATTTGCCTCTGCAGATCTGGATTGTCATCTGCTAAAGAATGTAGAAGCTTTGCAGCCATCTCCAGCACCTTCCCTCAACTAAAAAAACTCCTGCTTGTTTACTATCCTTTCTCCAATAGATAAAATTACAACATTTCAGCTTCTATCTCCATAAATCTGAATCTCAGGTTTCTCTTCAATAGTGTTTTAACCAGTTCTCTGTAGAACAGAGAGACGAAATATCTGAGCAATTCCTTGTTGACCCAACTGAGATAATGGAATTTTAGATACCTCAACAGTACTTACTTCACTCAAAAACCAAAGTCCAATTGAGGAAGAAAAATTCCTCAACCTCTTTTTTTATGTTAATTATTCTCCTTCAATAGTGAGCAAAATTCAATGCACAAAATAAGCCTCCTGCAACTTTATGAAATGCAAGACTGAAGGCACTTTCCGCATTCATGTAACTCCAAACATGGATTTCCATGAACAGAAAATAATCAATTAACTCATTTCCTTTTGCATATCCACCAGGCCCTGAAAATCTCCTTTATCTTAAATCCAGCTAATTACAGCTCAAACAACAAACAAAGTTTTAGCCCTATCAATAGCCAACAGATCAAAATTGTCCCGTCGCAATCAAAATCACTTTCCCGGAATTTTTCCTCCAATAACAATAGCTACCCTTAAAAGGGTTCTCCTTGAATTATCAAAATCTCAAACTTACAAGGAGCCAAAAAAAAATATCCCCACAAACACAAACCAAATTTTAATCAGTATTAGCTAAAAGATACCATAATGAGTTTCACAGACAAACCAGAGAATGCCTTGTGTAATGTAAGAATCAAATAGAGCCAAAATAAAAAGAGAGTGGCCCCAACTCAAAACAACCCATTTACAATACACAAACAAAGGCCACAGTTATCAGCAACAACATTACATTACCTCACAGATTGATTACCTATAAGAAACTAAAACCAATGCAGAAAACTGTAAAAAGGAATCAGTGTTTTTCTGCAGATCCAAGAAAGAGAGAGATAAATGATAAATGTCTGTGTGTTTGAAAGACAGCTAGAAGCCTAGAAGAGAAAGGAAGGAAGGTCTGTCATAATATCGTAAATATGTGCTCCAAAGAAGAAAAAAACAATTTTTTGAAAGGCAAAACTGTAAAAGAGTTGGCAAAACCTAAACAAAATTGTTATTTCATTTTTTATTTTCATGTACGCTGGAAGAAAGAGAGTGTTTTTGCATTGTGTTTTTGTGGTCTGAGACGCTGATGTCTTCCAATCACAGAAGCATGTGGGATGAGTATGTGAGTGGGTCTAAATTGTCTGCATGGTCATGTGCTTTTGTCAGCATAAAAGAGAGAGAGAGAGAAAGATTAATTATCAACTGGAAAGTCTTCAGAGACAATTGTCAGCTGCCCATTTCCACGTAACCCTTCTCTAGATTTTCTTTTCTTTTCTTTTCTTTCATTTATTAACCTTAATCTTCAACTACTCCAAAAGTACATGGACTCAACTTTTTGCCAAATAATTATCATATCGACTCTCTTCTATACTTAACTCTTTCTTTTACATGATACAATGGAATTATCAGAGAATTCTACAACATGGATAAACTGTTCATCCCTTTATGATGACTAAGATTGATTACAGAATGATAATAATAAAAATGATATGGAAATGAAAAGGATTTCAACATGAGTAGTTGAACAACTTGCGCAAGTGGAAGTTACATTATAAAGTTTGTATAACTGGGAAACATGCATGCCTTGTACATTGTTCCATAAGTTTGACCATTTCTGCCATGGATTTTCTCAGAAGTATATCAGCCTGGACTTCCAGGAATAAAATAATGGAATTATTCCCAAATATTTCTTATAAAAGTACTGCCTGGAAACATGACCATTCCCTATCCTCCAATCGAACTAAGAATCTTTACTTTGGGAGAATTGACTGGTGAGCAGAATGAGCTTGAGAGCATAACTCAAAGACCAAAAAGAATAAGACTACAAATTTGTATTAGGTAGAGAATTTCATACCACATAAAATTTTAAGGTGAGTAGGTAAAAAAATGAGACCACTCTTTCACAATATTTTGAAAGGGTCTGCATTTTGAGTTGAAGCTGGCCCTCCATTGGGATCATGTTAAGTGATTCTTTACATGCTACAAGAATAATATAAGTGAACAAAGGCCATTAACAAAAAGACAAACAAACAAATAAAGGGAATTAAAGATTAAACAACTTAGGATTATTTTAAAATGTGCATTAAAAGCATACATTAAAGATATATTAATTATTTTATTCACCTAATATTTTCTGTTTCAGAAATTATTTTCATTATAGAGCAGTCCCTAAATTAGCATAGAATTAATGGTGAAAATGGGTAAAAAGGGAAGTTCTAATCCAATAATGAGACCAGGTCACAATAAAATGAAACTAAAAAGGGTGCAAATTGTTAATTCTCGAACTTTAGTTTGAGAAAGTAGTTGGTGAATAATACAATAAAATTGATGATAAAAACAAAACCAACCATACGTGGAGACCATTATGTCCAAAATCAAGAACTCCTAACCCCCTTTTTTCCCATCTTTTTCAGTCAATTATTTAATTATTCAAGAATGATTGATTCCAAAACTCAAAAGAGGGTATTTTGGTAATTTCACAAGCTCAATAACAAGGTTAATACTTATTTTAGGTATTTACTCAATGGCTGCTGTCCTTGCAATGTGTAGTTTGTATTATCAGGGGTACCAAAAATTTATAATAATAATAATAATAGAAGTGTAATGCAGAAACTGGGAATTCTTTGTCAGATTCCATAGCCACATGGTTGCCCACCACCACTCTTATGTTTTGTCAAACTCTTGCCTCCATTTCACCATGTTCAAATCAGAATGTTTTTAGTTTATCTTTCAATACATGAAAACATTATTGATTTTAATCATAATTTTTTTTTTCTTTTATAACCAGGGCGTCTGGGCTACCTTGTGCGTACCTCAACTAATCATTGGGGTCCATTAAATACCCTACAAGTCTAAAGACCAGGTAAGTTATGAAATGGTAGGTGACACTAAGGTTCGAACTCAAAAACTCCATAAAGAGAGCAAACATCATTAACCGTCACGCCAATCTCTTGGGTTTATAGCTTTAATATATGTGTATAATGTGACAAAAGTTAAAGATGATGTGATTACGAAGATTTAATAAGGATTAATGAGTGGAAGGGTCATGATGATTAAGCACTTAGACGTATAATAAAAAGGATTAACATTTTAATTTTTGTAGGCATGATTTTGTTTGTATTAGATAGAAACAAGAAAATACAAGCCAAAAAGTGACATAATATAGTGAGCATCTTCATGAGATTTGTGTGGTGTTGCATAATTTTTTAAAGGTAATAAATGCTTATAAAAAGAAGTGGATATTGACTATGCAATCTTGTCTTATTTATATGCTCAAGAATATGACATGCCGACTTCATTTTCCTCTGCATGTAGTGATGATGAAAGATGGTGAAAAATCAACAACTTTCAAAGAATTAAAAGCATAGCAGAAGTTGCAGATAGAAAAGGATTCATATACTGTTTCTTATGAATATGTATTATGGGTCATAATCTGAGAAGTTATTTCTTTACAATATGCCCAGAACTTTTTTAATTCTTACTCATGAAATTATGCTTCTTGCAAAAAATCACAGTAGGGAAAACCAAAGATTGAGCAAAATGAAACTAAAGAAATCTATTTTGATGCCTGCATTTACTTCACAAACAGCTTCTTCGCCTACCTGGCTTGCCTCGCAAACTAGCTGCTTCACCCATCAAAATCTCGTCTACTAAATCTTTAAAGAGCAACCGCCCAACATCTAGTACACCCCAGAAATCTCGCAGTCAAAATTGTTTCCAACTGCCTGATCGATGCTACATCCTCCCACAATATACTTTTCAAATCATCTCCTCATCCTCTAGGCTGCACTCCGTTTCTTGGCTTGAAGCTGTTCAATCTCTGAGCATAATTCTTTTAGAAGCTTTTGTGCACTCAATGTATTGCTTGCTAGCTTTTTGGTCTTTAACCATGGCTCTGGAGAGGTCCCTACTGAAGCTAACTTTCCGACAAGGATATCCTGACAGAATCAAATATGAGTTTCCGGTGAACCTTCTCTGGGTCTGTCTTGAATGGGAAACTTGACAGGGCTGCATTCTCCTTTTGAACAGAATGTGCTTGCATTAGTTTGTTCCAAAACAAGAAAACTCGGGGTTGATTGGGTGGCCTGACGGATGGAGCTGAAATGTTGTCAAGTGGAGCCGAGGTCTCTTAGTAGGAGGCCAGAAGCTAACAGTATCTCAGAGATGATCTGTGGTCAGGATTGGTGTTCTCGCAAAGTGATGCAATGTAGTCTGTGCCAGCTTCACATGACTGGAGTTAAGCCGTCTAAGCTTCTGAACTAAATGCTCGATGTTTTGTAATTTCTTGCGACTGATTTCCGTTGTAACACCAGAACCCGTGCCATCAGATACGAGATTATCTGCTGTAGTCCACTGATCTTCATTGAGACAATCACTGGAAATTTGAGCAATATCACCTGTAACATGATAAATATTAAAGTTACAATGTTTAGAACATAGATGCCTTCATATATATAGAAATTAGAACAATGGAAAGGAGCCGATTGGTATGTTTGTGGGGTAAGCTAAGGACCCAGCTAAGGAATATTCTTAATGTAGTAAGGACATGATGCGTAAATACAACAGAGGGTTGTTCCAAAACTAAGAAATTCGGCAGCTAAACATTAAAAGTTCTGGAAAGCAAGAACAGGTTCATTAATCATCTCAAAATTGCAGTGGAACTCAAAGAATTCTGCTCCACTCAAACTCATCAGTGAGTTATACAATTAAACTAATTCAAACTCTTAACACCTAGTGTAGTGAGAACTATCAGCTTACAAGATGAATGTCTATTCAAACATATAATCTCTTTTTTATTTGAGTGGGTTGATTATTAAAGAAAATAAAAAGCTTCAATCTGTCTATAGCATTAATCAGTTTAGATGAACATATCTAAGGAATTGATCGATAAAAGAAACTTTACCTTTGAGGCA